CCATGCAGAGCATTGTTGACATAGAAATTTGCAAAATACATGCGGATCTGAATGTGGCAGAACCGTTGACTAAGATTCTCTCACAAGCAAAACATGATCACACCTTAGTACTCCTTGGGTGTTAATCACATAGCGATGTGAACTAGATTACTAAATCTAGTAAACCCTTTGGGTGTTGGTCACATGGCGATGTGAACTATGGGTGTTAATCACATGATGATGTGAACTATCGATGTTAATCACATGGTGATGTGATCTAGATTATTGACTCTAGTGCAAGTGGGAGACTGAAGGAAATATGCCCTAGAGGCAATAATAAAGTTATTATTTATTTCCTTATAATCATGATAAAAGGTTTATTATTCATGCTAGAATTGTATTAACCGGAAACATAATACATGTGTGAATACATAGACAAACAAAGTGTCACTAGTATGCCTCTACTTGACTAGCTCGTTAATCAAAGATGGTTATGTTTCCTAACCATGAACAATGAGTTGTTATTTGATTAACGGGATCACATCATTAAGAGAATGATCTGATTGACATGACCCATTCCATTAGCTTAGCACCCGATCGTTTAGTATGTTGCTATTGCTTTCTTCATGACTTATACATGTTCCTGTAACTATGAGATTATGCAACTCCCGTTTACCGGAGGAACACTTTGGGTACTACCAAACGTCACAACGTAACTGGGTGATTATAAAGGAGTACTACAGGTGTCTCCAAAGGTACATGTTGGGTTGGCGTATTTCAAGATTAGGTTTTGTCACTCCGATTGTCGGAGAGGTATCTCTGGGCCCTCTCGGTAATGCACATCACTTAAGCCTTGCAAGCATTGCAACTAAATGAGTTAGTTGCGGGATGATGTATTACAGAACGAGTAAAGAGACTTGCCAGTAACGAGATTGAACTAGGTATTGGAATACCGACGATCGAATCTCGGGCAAGTAACATACCGATGACAAAGGGAACAACGTATGTTGTTATGCGTCTGACCGATAAAGATCTTCGTAGAATATGTAGGAGCCAATATGGGCATCCAGGTCCCGCTATTGGTTATTGACCGGAGACGTGTCTCAGTCATGTCTACATTGTTCTCGAACCCGTAGGGTCCGCACGCTTAAGGTTACGATGACAGTTATATTATGAGTTTATGCATTTTGATGTACCGAAGGTTGTTCGGAGTGCCGGATGTGATCACGGACATGACGAGGAGTCTCGAAATGGTCGAGACGTAAATATTGATATATTGGAAGCCTATGTTTGGATATCGGAAGTGTTCCGGGTGAAATCGGGATTTTACCGGAGTACCGGGAAGGTTACCGGAACCCCCCGGGAGCTAAATGGGCCATGATGGGCCTTAGTGGAAAGGAGAAGAGGCAGCCCTACATGGGCTGCGCGCCTCCCCCTTCCCCTGGTCCTATTAGGACTAGGAGAGGTGGCCGGCCCCCTCTCTCTCTTTTCCCCCTCCGCGAATCCTATTCCAACTAGGATTGGTGGGGAATCCTACTCCCAGAGGGAGTAGGACTCTCCTGGCGCGCCACACCTTGGCCGGCCAGCCTCCCCCCTCTAGTCCTTTATATACTGAGGCAGAGGCACCCTAGAACACACAAGTTGATCCACGTGATCTATTCCTTAGCCGTGTGCGGTGCCCCCAACCACCATAGTCCTCGATAATACTGTAGCGGAGTTTAGGCGAAGCCCTGCTGCTGTAGTACATCAAGATCGTCACGACGCCGTCGTGCTGACGGAACTCTTCCTCGACACTTTGCTGGATCGGAGTCCGGGGATCGTCATCGAGCTGAACGTGTGCTCGAACTCGGAGGTGCCATAGTTTCGGTGCTTGATCGGTTGGATCGTGAAGATGTACCACTACTTCCTCTACGTTGCGTCAACGCTTCCGCAGTCGGTCTGCGTGGGTACGTAGACAACACTCTCCCATCTCGTTGCTATGCATCACATGATCTTGCGTGAGCGTAGGAATTTTTTTGAAATTACTACGAAACCCAACAGTTTAGAGGGCCGTGTTTGCTAGGTGTAGGACTGCCATTCTGTCGTGTTGCTGTTAACAGACTTGCTCGTCGATGCTTGCCGCAGCCTGACATTTGTTGCCAGCAGAACGATGGCGTGAAGTATAATTATCAAAAAGGAAGTTTTAGTTTTGACTGTTGACTCTTGACCTGTTGGATAGAGACATGCATTATGCATGTGAGGTTTGATCCAAGGACTAAGGGCATGTAGAATGGTGGTATATGAATACATATGCTTCATGATAAGAAGTAATTTAAAGCACCCACTAGTAGAAAACAGGGATTTGGTTCGGGTCTGGTCAGCCCATTAGTCCCGTTTCTTCACGAACCGGGATTCATGGGAGGCATTAGTCCCGATTCATGAGCCCAGGGGGGCAGCCGGGGCCTTGTGGGCATGGGTCCCGGTTCGTATGGATCCATTTGTTCCGGTTCTAGGCACGAACTGGGACCAATGGGCCTCGCTCCTGGCCCACAGCCATTGGTCCCGGTTCTTGACTAGAACCGGGACAGAAGGGAGGGCCTTTAGTCTCGGTTCCAGTCACGAACCGGGACCAATGAGTTGCCTATATATACCCCCTCGCCGGCGAGCAGAGCAGTCCACATTGCTTTGTTTTTTTGGTCGGCGAGGGGAGGGCATTTGGGTGCTCTAGCTCACCTCCTATGCACATGAGGTGTTCGATGAAATGCCCGAGCCACGCTAGTTAAGCTTTCTCCTCTCGAAGCTTGACCTCGGAGCTCCATTTTCCCGAGATTTGTCTAGATTTAGCGGTCCGTCACGCCCCGCCCCCGTTTTCACCGCCGTCGATCGCCCACGCCGATCTCGTCGCCGGCACCACTGTGGTGAGCCTCTTGTTCTTATCTTCTTTCTGATTTTTTTACTTTAGATAAATACTTGTCTTATTTTCTTACTTTAGATAGATACTTGTCTCATTTTCTTACTTTAGATAGATACTTGTCTGATTTTCTTACTTTTGACACATATAATTATATATAATGCACGCAGATGAACCGCAATGGATGTATGGTAACAGACACACCTCCGAATACATTAAGGGTGTGCAATGGTTTGAGCTCTCTACGAACGATACGATCAAGCTACTCATCGAGAGCCCCCCTTGATAGTACGACAATCGATCCTATAACCCCGTCTCCCAACTACCACCATGAGACCGGTAAAATAGAAAACCTATCAAGGGCGAACCTTTGCCTTGCACATAGTCCACTTGAGCTAGATGATGATGATCTTGACTCCTTCAAGTTGGACCACCTTTCTTGATTGCGTTGGCTTGATGAAAACCAGTTGATTGCTCCCCCATACTCCACTATGGATGAGCCCACTATGGGTGAGCCCACTATGGGTGAGCCACTCTTTGGCACATCTTCACAAGTCCATTGACATCACAATGGACGACAGGCTTTAAGCACTTGATCTCTTTGTGATGCTCCACTTGATCTTGCACAATACAACCTTGATTTGATGTCATCCTCCATGGGTTGTATGTGATCTTTCTCTTGACGCAAGCCCATGGAATCAAACATAACCCCACATAGAACTCTCACAAAGACCATGGGTTAGTACACAAGGCGTAATGGACAATGCTTATCAAACTGTGAGATCACTTGATCCCACTCGGTGTATACGCTTTGTGTGATGATCAACTTGAGTCACTCTCTATACTTAGTCTTGATCAACCTTGACTCTTTCCAACCCTCTTCATTTGGATGATGTCTTGAAGGTAAATATGAATGATCACACAATCTTCTTCTTCAAGACATGCTTGCAATAAACTCAATACTCACATGACCAATCTTTGGATAATTCCTTAATAGCACCTTGGTCAACTCATAAACTCCTTGAAACCAACACATGGACTTCAAGAAATGCCTATGAACAAATCCTTCAAATATAACTCAATGCAACCATTAGTCCATAGAGAATGTCATCAATTATCAAAACCAAACATGGGGGCACCGCATGTCCTTTCAATGAATTCTACCACTATCTTGAAAAAGAAGAATAGAATCACATACGGTGCAGCGGGAACAGCACCGCCGACGTTGACGTTGTCGCCCATGTCGTTGAGGATGAGGTTGCCGAGGTCGAGGAAGAAGTCGTCGTTGGCGAAGTCGTCGATGCAAGCAGTCCCACGAGTGCGCTCCCCCAAAACCTGATCATCAGGATCACGAGAGGCAGGGTTCCGGAGGCCTGTTGTCCCTTCTCGCGGTGCACGCCGAAAGGAGGGATTGAGAAGACTCGGTTGGCGGCGCAATGATCTGAAACGGTGGTGCGAAACCATACGATACGGCGGCGGCTAGGGTAAACGTCTGCGTGACTATATAGTGCGGGCCGGATAGGTCGTGGGAGTAAACCCCACGGTTCAGTAATTAACGTGTCCGTTAATTATTAATTAATGAGATTAGACAATGTGCATAGCTCTGTCCTTGGCGCGGTGTGGCGAGCGAGGAGGAGGAGCGCGCGTGTAGGTCTCATTTTCTCATGCTCATACAAATGGTAGAAGAACTCACCTTATAAAGAGATGCAACTCTCACTCAACTTACATGGTAGGACTAAACTTTAGTTTCACTCATTCCATTCACATGTGTGCATGAATGGGCCAAGAGAATTTCAGAATTTTAGTTGGGATTTGGGCCAAAGGCCTACTAGCAAAATTCCTACAATCACAGGCTCTGAATATATAGGGTGCATCGATGTTAATAGATTGTGAAATCTGCACACGTAAGCTCACTCACTGGATTACTAGTATATAAAGCAAGCTATTACCGACTAAGGTGAGGCAGAGGGCTAGCTAGCAAAAGTGGGGGAAGCATACAATGGCGTTAGATCAGCCGAAGCAGCTTGTCCCATGTCTTCTCCTCCTGTTGACCCTGTCGTCCTTGTCCGAGGCCAAGGCGCAGCAGTGCAAAAGCCCCGATTCCGACAAGGATCGGAGGAGCCACTACACCATGGACCACGCCCTTTCCAGTTTTCATCTGATGGACAAAGCATCCGGCCGAGTCCTCAGCTTATTTTTCGGTAACTGGTCCCACCCAGATGTGAACAATACGGTTGGCCTCAGCCTCCTCCGTTACCAGCTGGCCCGCTCCGATGTGAACAACACCGTAGTGTTGTCCACCTTCGGATTCTGGATTCCTTTGTCCCGAGTTCGCCAGGACCAACTGGGGACTGACGAGGCGTCCTTCAGCGTCACCGTCGTCTATCAGCCTCTACCGGAACAGAGGCATAGCGGCATCGCCTTCCTCATCCTCCCCTATTGGGCCCTAATTGATCTCGAATACAACGGGGCAAATAGCTCCTTAGCGAAGCAACTGGTGGCCAGAGACATCGGCTTCGTCGACCCCAAATCTGTAACCCGAAGCGCCTCCTTCTCCGGCAGCTCCGTCTCAGTCGGGATGGGCGTGCTGGCTAACCTCACGACCGCAAGGTACAATGGTCGCGCCATGGTAGTGGAAATCATCATCCATCAGGAGGTGGCAGATGCCATCTCTAACTATTCAGTGTGGATCGACTACAACCGCGTGGGGCGCAGTTTCTCGGTCTACGTGGACGTTGAAGGCAAGCCAAAGCCTGATTACAACATAGTCGAGATGCAACAGAACATCAGCATCGATTTCCCGTATGCTAGTTTCGGCCTCGTCTCCACGGCTGCACAATTGCTTCAGCCCCGAGGCATCACATGTAGGGCAACGGTTGAAGGCCTCCCTCCCCACTACCACGACAAAGGAGGCACCCAGTCAAGGAAGGTAACCATCCTGTCATCCGTCCCCGGGTCCATAGCCACTGCCACCGCAATGGCCGCCGCCGTGGCGTGCTACTTGAACTCGAGGTACCGGCGGTGGCACAAGGACCTGGACCAGCTCGCCAAGTCTATGGAGCGACTCCCAGGGGTCCCATTGAAGATCGACTTCGCAGACATCAACAAGGCCACCCGCAAATTCCATGAGGACATGAAGCTCGGCAGAGGAGGTTTTGGCACTGTGTACAGGTGCACGCTCCCCGCCGCCGCTTCCAAGATGGAGCGGCCCATGGACGTGGCCATCAAGAGGTTTACGCGCGATGTGCAGAATTGCCGCTACGACGATTTCCTCGCCGAGGTCAGCATCATCAACCGGTTGCGCCACAAGAACATCGTCCCCCTCATCGGTGAGCATCATCCAAACAGTACATTTAATCTGCGTTGGGCTGTGAATTTAGCTCATTGCTACTCTCGCTGTTGGTTTGGTCTTTGTTTTGTTTATTATGCTCTGTTTTTATTTGGATTTGAAATTTTGTATTGGTGGTGGTGGATATACGTACATCACCTAAATATTTTCAGATAATTTCCTGTAGGGTCCTATATGGAGTCATGTATTGCATGGGTGGTCATATATTGTCCTATATTGCCTGTAGGGTCCTATATGGAGTTGAGGATAACTAATTGTGGTTAGAGGTCAGATGTGACTGGCTTAGCAACGGGGATCCATCGGTTACAGACCCATTCTAAACTTCTAGCTATGCACTTGTAGAAAAACACTAATTTCATAACTCTGCACATAAACTAATTTCAGGGTGGTCATACAACAAAGGAGTGCCGCTGCTTGTGTTCGAGTTCATGGCAAATGGTAGCCTAGACCAGCATCTCTTCCATAGAGGCGGCAGCGGCACCAGACAGCGGAACACCGATGGCGCCATCTGGCAATGGGCAACCCGCTATGAGATCATCAAGGGCGTAGCCACCGGCCTGCACTATGTCCACCACGAGTACGAGCCCATGGTGCTCCACCGTGACATCAAGGCGAGCAACATCATGCTGGACTCGAGCTTTCAGGCCCGTCTTGGTGACTTCGGCCTGGCCTGCACCGTCTCCATCGACAGGAATTCCGTCACCGGCGTGGGTGGCACCTGGGGCTACATCGCGCCGGAGTACCCGGTTAGCCGCAAGGCGACGCGGCAGACTGATATCTATGCGCTTGGGGTGCTCATCCTCGAGATTGTCACTGGGCTGCGGGCATTGGCTGATCACGAGGTGGTGGATGATGACGACATGCATATCACAGATAGGGTGTGGCGCCTTCACCGTGAGTGGAGGCTACTGGAGTGTGTGGATGCCATGTTGACCAACGGTTCAACTCTTGACACCGAGGAGCAGCTAGATACTACTGACGATGCGGAACGCCTGCTGCTCCTAGGCCTGGCCTGCAGCAACCCGAACCCGTCAAACCGTCCAACCATGCCTGATGTGGTGCGGGTCATCGCCAAGTCGGTACCGCCACCACAGGTGCCTCCTCAGAAGCCAAGATTTGTGTGGCCACCTCAGGAAGAGGGACGTTCAGTGCCCTCCGATGATGGTGGTAGCACGGGTACATCGATGATGAGTAATCTCGACAATAGTACGGCAAGCGCTACCGGAGGACATGCCGCATTTCAACTCCAACACTCTGTCTACGTGATGGCAGGCAGTGCCTCTGGTCCATCAGGAAATGCTAAGGAGCATATATAGTAAAAATGAAAATTCACTTGTTGCATTTAATGTTGATGTGATTTTGCTTAATTTAAGAAGCTTGAGTATTTGTTATGTGTAAGTTAATGCCATGAGTCATATGTATGAAATAAATATATACTGTATATCAGATTAGATGGCCATCACCATCGACTTAAATATAGAACAATCGAATCAGATATAGGCACTTATATTGACAACGTGTATAGTTGCCTTTGCTGTACACGGCCTGGAAAGTCAAAGTTTGATGTCCAAAAAACTACGTATGATAAACATCATCAAGCGCTTAGTTTATGTTGATGTTCAGTCCATTCTCGTGGTATCGGGGCAATAGTGATATTTTTTGGAGAGTTGCTCCCTTAGTCCGTTTTAGTGAAGTTTTTTTTTTGCGGGTGCGTTTTAGTGAAGTTTAGAGGGCCGTGTTTGGTAGGTGTACAAGTATCAGTTCTGTCGTGCTGCTCTTGGCAGTTTTGCTCGTCGATGCTTGCCGCAGCCTGACATTTGTTGCCAGCAGAACGATCGCGTGAAGTATGATTATCAAAAAGGAAGTTTTAGTTTTGACTGTTGACTCTTGATCTGTTGGATAGAGACATGCATTATGCATGTGAGGTTCGATCCAAGGACTAACGGATGGCCAACTTAAACCATGCCTTTAAGAGATCGTCTAGCCAGACAGTTCTTCATGTGCAATACAATATGCTTAAAGGTGAGTACAGATCTCGGTAAGACACTTGCTGAACAGGATAGGGACATGTAAATTCAAAGTAGTACTATGAAGACCAGGAATACCGGGTAATTGACTGAACGCTAATGATTATGCTATGCAGGCCGGCCGTTTGTTCCACATGGAGGGGGAAAGACTCAGGCAAATTGTTCCCCAGTTGAGGAGGCTCTACTATGCCGACAAATGGTGGGGGCAAAGGCTCAATGTTTCATGCAGTTACAACATTGTTTCATCCTCCTATTTGGCATCTTCCCGGAAGAAAAGAAAACTCCTGTTTAGCTTTGGGAAAACTATGAGACCTAGGAAAATCAACACGATATGGCGTTAGATCAGCTCAAGCAGCAGTTTGTTCCATGTCTCCTTCTCATGTCGACCAACGCCTTCTTCTCTCGCGCGACGCGGGGCTATGGAAATGCCTCCAAGACTCCACCTAGATCGAAGGAGCAACCAGACCTTTGGACGACACCATGTCTCACATTTTTAGAAGTCCCACATTTCATCTGATCGACAAAGACGCCGGGCCCGTATGAACGTTGCCGGACCTTGACTACGCCTATAACAAACGGCGTGTGTGTGGAACAAACGGCCGGCCTGCATACTCGAGCATGACAATTTTGTTTTTAATAACATGTCAATTTTATTACTAAGAGCATGGCAGTTTTATTTTTATTTTTATCATGAAAATTTCATGTGTATGATGGCTGAAAAAAAAGCTCAAAGCTCGCGAGCTAAACGAATAGCTCGTGACTTGGCTCGAATTGACTCGAACTCGAAGAATAACGAGTCGAGCTGAGCTTTGGTTTAAGATCGTTTATAGACCGAGTTAAATAAGCCAATCTCACGAGTACCCATGTAAGTCGTTAGGCTCGGTATAAAAGATCAGTCACTCCCAATCCAAAAAAAATCAGTCACTCACCATGCGTCATAGGCGCACAACGCAAGGCCCAGCCATTGAAGCCCAGCGTCCCAAGAGACTCATGTGTTACAAGAAAATTACAATTGTTTGGTATGTATATGTTTAGAATATATACATAATCATTTTTTCATATTTGAGGTTTAATGTTCATATCTTTAACGAGTTTAACAAGCTAAACGAGCCAGCTCGCGAGTTGTATGAGTCGAGCCAATCTTGGGTTTGAGCTCGTTATAGTAACGAGTCGAGTCGGGCTAGCTCGTTAACAAAACGAGCTTTAGCGAGTCGAGCCGAGCTGGCTCGACTTGGCTCGAATTCCAGCCCTAATGATTTCTATGTTTTTAAAATGAAAATATAAAGCATGGCAAATTCCTTGTACGTCTTTTTTTAATTAATATGCAAATTTGTTGTGCATCATCTTCTTTATCTGCATTTTGGTCCACAGTATTTGTTTTTGTATGTTTCTTATTTTTTTAGATTTAGTATGGTCTTTTTTCCATGTAGGTATTTTCATTGGTAGGCTACCGTGGCAATTTCCAGTAGGTGTTTACAGTGTCAATGTTTCTGCAATAAAAAAAGTTCTATCAAATGTTGCTTTTAGCGGGCCCAACAAAGAAGCGAAAGGGGCGTGTCTGGGCTGGTTCGCCGTGGAGTGGTTCTCCTTGCAAACGTTTTCGTTCGCTCGATCGAACCACTCCTAGTGAATGATTCGTTGGCCGGACGCACCCACCAGCTGACGTCCCATGTATATTTTGGTCATTTTAAAAAAAGAATTAGATCGATAATAGATGGAAAGGGGAATTTTTGGAATGAAATCACAAATAAAAATATCTCGAGGACGTGGGCATAGCCCAGTGGTTGGGGGCGCATGATTGTAAACCTAACGACCAGAGTTCGATCCACGTCGGGGACGAATTTCTGGAATTCTCATGAGGGATGCTTCTTCTATATCAATAAAACCGTGGGTGCTAGTGCCCATGGAGTTTCATTTTTTTTTAAATATCTCCCAAAAACCAAAGTGGAACCGTCTTTCCAGATGAAACACCATGGAAATGGAGCAATAGTTTTCATGCACCTTTTTAATACCCTACTCTAGTCCAACCCATATACGATTTTGGCCCAACTCAATCCTAGCACCCAAAAACTAATCCGTTCGGTCACATGTTCCAAAAAAAAAAGACCCTGAAGGAAAACTTGTTGGAAGGGCAGAGTGGTTCGTTTGACAACATAAGGAGGAGAGTGCTTGGATATCTCTCTGGAAGATCACCGTGCCGTAGAAAATCAACGTTTTTCGGTGAAAGTTGGCAAGGCACCCAGACATTCTAAAATGTAGGAGCATGTCCTTGGCCGATATTAGTTTGACCACATAATAGTTCATAGGAATGTTTCCATGAATCAAACCTATGGTATACATGTATCGATCAAAGAGTCATCTCTATTGCAGTATTACCAAACATGTCAATTGTTGGATACACCAAACCCCATCAAGATGTGATGAATCGCTCACCACAACTCCAATACAAATGTTTCACTAGACCAGAACAGCCACCATCTACAGGTTGGCAAGGCTCCCGGACATTCTAAAAACGTAGGAGCATGTCCTTGGCCGATATTAGTTTGACCACATAATAGTTCATAGGAATGTTTCCATGAATCAAACCTATGGTATACATCTATCGATAAAAGAGTCATCTCTATTGCAGTATTACCAAACATGTCAATTGTTGGATACACCAAACCCCGCCAAGATGTGATGAGTCGCTCACCACAACTCCAATACAAATGTTTCACTAGCCCACAACAGCCACCATCTACGTTGATTCTAATGGCACCTTTCGGCAACCGAGTCCATGGATTGGTTACCGCCAATATAGCCCGAATACTTGGCGTATTTTCCCATCGCCACCCTAACAAACATCGTTGCCTTAGCTAGAACAAGTAAAAAAAACTGTCATTGTTCGACGGTTTATTTATTTTCCTTGATTACCGTTGATCAACATACGTCTAAAATTAATATTGTCTTACCCAACTAAGTTCATTAACATACGCTTAAGATTGAATACTCTCTTATACCTAGCTAAGTTCATCAAGGAACGTTGAGGATTAAATTCTCTCTTACCTAGCTAAGTTCATCAACGAACGTTTAAGATAATTACACTCTAACCTACCTAAGTTGGAGCATCCTAGAAGAGCTCTTAGCACAATTATGTGGTCAATTTATGGCTCGAGGAATCATCGGACAAAGGATGAGAATGGTTTTTAGTTACATCTAGGGCAATGATGTTTGTTAGGTAGATGATGGAAATGTCTGAAGTGCAAACTTAAATTGGAAATGCAGATTCTTCCCACTATACTATCCCATGAGATTTATATTTTTGTTTCCTGATCTATAAGTCAAATTTGAATTTGAATCATGATACATATATTACATACATGCCGTATCAGGTATTTGTATGGTGAGATTTCCAGGTTGTGAATTTTAAAAGGTGTTTTTCTGCAAGCATCATGATTTTTTAAGGAATAAGTGGAGGTTGCTAGGGTCGTCTGTGCGGCTCACACGTAATAACATGGGGAAACTAGGCTTGATCATTATCGGGTTTTTTTTGTCTGGTGTCCATTTTTTGCATATGATCTTCTTTTTTGCGAAATAATTCCAGTATTACTCAACCAGGTGTACAATCATGCATGACCGCGTCCAAAATGTCCTTTGGTCCATAACAAAGCCATACCATATAGTTCGGCATGAATTCTACCAAAGTTTGCCAATGAATGATCAGAAAATCAAAGTTAGCAGCACAAAAATGATCCATACACATGCTTTTTTATATATAGTACACAAGTTTTTTCGTGAATTTCATATCATAAAGGATGCTAGGGTATTTATGAAAAAATGTAGGGTTTTTAGAACACCGACGACGAGTTGCATAATCGAGGTGTGAGTTAGTTTACAAAAAATGAACTACGGTTTACACTTTCCAGGACGTACATACAAACTACACCAGAGAATATTGTCACATCCAGTCTTTAGTTTTGGTTCTAATTTACGGGAACATAATGATTCAAAGGAGTTACAAGAAAATGACCAGGTGAATTGCCAAGAGGCAGACTGTATTGTATTTAGAGAAAAGTTGGAGGGCCAGTTCTGAAGTGAAGCTGCAAGAGGACTTGATACTTTCGTGGTAAAAAGCAACCAGGAGGGACCTAGTTGCAAGCGTGCGCAAAGAAACAAAGGTGCGCAAGTAAGTCTCCAGGGGCACGTCTGAGAAGAAAAAGGAGCTGCGCGCGAAATCTCAAAAAAATTTGGACCACTTCTCGATTTGTGCGTGTCATCCTTGCGCAGGGGCCATGCTAATCTTCTCTGTATCGTTCCAATTTTATCGGATGTCCCCGAAGGGACGAGTCAGCTGCGGCGAGCGGGTTTATAAGCT